ATTTAAACACAAACTTCTGCAATATTATTAACAAATGAAGAAGTAAGTATAATTGGACTTGCTAATGAAAGTATTAAGACTTCATAACCATCAATAGCTAATTTAACCATTGGAAAAAACATAACCATTGGACCAATACCAAAAAAAATTGTCCAAAAAATATAACCGAAATATAATTCCCAAGCAATCAAACGTAAAAATCTTTTCTCCATTATATCTCGAATATTAGCTGGAAGTTTTTGTATATCACCAAAATCATAATTATCTGCAACTTGTTTGCGATTTTTCAGAAGCATCTTTTCTTCTTTTTCCTGATCTAAAATTTGATCTTTACTTTCATTTGTTGTCTTTTTTTGACGTGAACGAACAGTATTATCATCCATCTAAAACAACAATAACAAAATGTTCGATCAATGAAGCGGAACTGTAAAAAGACCAGAAATGTTAAAGCAAATATTCATTCAAATGACTTTCAATGAAGTCAAATTCCAAATAATAATTTATGGATTTTTGAAAAACGAAAAATTTAAATAATTAAAATTAAAATAAAATAAAATAAATTATTTCAAATTTTTCATTTCAAATTTCTCGTTTATAATACAATTATTGAAGATAAGCGACATCTGTTCTTCATTTATATATATATATAGCGAGACATAGAACAGATTTTTTAATAAACTACTGTCAACGGCATTGTCATTTGATGCTCTAGTATTATTAGCATAATCGGATCTCCAAAGATATAATTTGTTTTTAAGAAAAGTACCTTTTTCTTTTATTAGAAAAACAAGTCATCTTTTCTTTCAAGAACATGACTTTTTTTTTCTTTTATAATACACTTAATAATCATGTTGCTCCAATACACAGTATATTAGTACATAATTATATATTTTTTAACATTGCTAAGGTCGAGTTCATTATTAGGAAGAATAGAACTCATAGATAATATGGAAAAAAAAGTTCGTTCCAATGTATTTAAGAACATGCAATCATTCATAGGTAAATATATGGAAAAGATCATGAAATCAAATAATATATATATAGGCTTCTATTTAAGCGATAAATCTCGACAATTCATATTTAAATTGATTTTAATAAAAGGTACCTCAACTCGTTTTTTGCAATTCAAACCTCTTATAAAAAAACAATTACAAACTATTGTTGATTGTAATGAATATATATATAATAGTAATCTTGTTTTTCTAATGCATCCTATTTTCAATTACTTTACAATTTTGATTAAGCAAAAAAATAAATATTTTCTAACAACCAGAAGATTGATCATCCATCTAATCATGGCATTCCATTGTATCTTATTATCATATTACAAATGAAACTATTTATTTTTTTTCTTCTTCTTATTATCATTAGAAAATGTTTCTATGCACAAGAAACCAAATCGATATATATGTATTTATCTAAATAAGCTATTCATAAAATGATCAAAGCAATGACCATGATTTCTTCTTTTGAATATTTACAAGAGAATATACATTTAAGGAGACATTTTTATATCATCGAAAAGAAAAAGAGGACACTCAACATAGTCTACTTGCCATTCTTTCATAGATCTCAACAGATTTTCTTTTTCTTTCGCATTCATAATAACAGTATTTCTCTTTCATGTATATACATTTACTAGTGAAGCAACTCATCACTATAATAGAAAGAGACAGAAAAGATCTAATACATGTGTATGTTGAGTTAGTTAGCAAGGTTGGTTTCTTCCTCCTCTTCTTTCTTATCTATTGAAACTTATTGATAATATAATGTCATAACGTTCCTAGATTCTTCCTATTTTTAACTATATCCTCTAATCATTGATTATTTTCGGTAGTCGTTTTTGTTTTTGCTAATATGATTCAATGAACATATCTATTGATTTTATTATATATTTTCCTAAGTATTAACACGTTAAAATGTCTAAGACAATGACAGTAACTATCTATACGAGGAATCACGTACAGAAAACGAGTGACAACTCATATTTCATAGGATTTGTGTAATTCAAGGATGGTGATGAGAAGTTCACTTAATAAAGATACAATTAGTCCTGGCAAGTGACGTGTTGTCTTTGACAGCTCACGCAGTTTTCTTCTTCTTCTCTTCGTTCTTCTCCTTATCAACTTTTAGTCTTTCTTCTTTATTAAAATGTTTTTATATTCTTTCCTTATTTTAACATATCACCGACGGCTATTCTTGAAAAAAAGCACAAAATATAAATGTGTGTGTGTAACTATGTCATCAATGATCAGTAAGATAAACCGACAAAAAAAACCTAAGTAATATTAGAGGAAGTCGTTTATTTTCTTCATTTTTTTCTTCTCTCTCCTACTGATGAGTTAATGGTTGAGACATAGTACATTTACGATATCGTTCCGCTTTAATGCTTTTTGTTTCATTCATGATTGATTGATTATATTGTATAGAAAAAACAACGAGATGTTTTTTTTTCAGAGAATAGGAGAAAAAAAAAGAAGATTAACTAGACATAAAACGAATGAGCTGATTAGATAACAATGCTATGAATAAAATATTCCGATGTAAAAGAAAAGAAGATACTTCTATATTCTATTTGATTCACTTTTCTATATTTGTTACGTTTGAGCAAGCAGAAAATTCTCAAATCAGTTTAGTTAAATATATTTTTACATCAATACTTTTTTGAAATAGATAAATGAGTTGAATTGCAATGAATGGGCACCAAATCATTTCGATTATTTGTTTGTATTATTATGTTATTCTCTCCTATTCTTGCCAATGATTATCGACAACGTATTGTTCTCAATAATTTATTTACAAATTCAAATTATCCATCAATACAAATTGCTCTTGAACAGGTTAATACACAATTATTATCTCAAATAGATCGACAATTTTATTTCAACGAAACAGAAGGAATGATTGAAGTAACTAGTTTTTATTTAATTAAAATATTTTCATGTGGAATAATTTATTTATTCTAGTGTGATGTTGGTATCGGTATAAAAACATTTTTTGATATGCTTAATCAATCTCCATCATTAAATGTTTTATTTACTGATGCTTGTCAAAATGTACTTACTTATATATCAGAAACGGCGACTTATTTTAAATTACCTATTGTATATTTTTTTTAAAATAATCATAAACATAATAAAAAAAAGTTCCTTGTTTGATTTAGATATCATTTACTGACAGTGATCTATCATTATTAACAAAAGATCGTTATCCATATTTTTATCATATTGTACCATCGGATCATTCACATAATAGAGTACGTACACAATTATTACACTATTTTAATTGGACACGATTTGGTTTAATTTATCAACATGGATCGAAATATACATTGGTTAGTAACTTAAGAAATTTCTAGGGTCACAAAAAAAGATAAGCAGTCTTTCTAAAAATAATAGTATTCAGGAAAAGTTTAACAGTCTATTAGCAAGTTTCATATAAACAAGATTAACTTATTTCTATTTCAAACAAAACAGAATAATCTCTGTATCTAAACCTATTAATCCGATTTTACTATGTGTCCCTTGTGAATATAATTCGAAAGTAATTATAAAACTGATAGATAATCTTATTCTCTTTTATATTTTAATGATATTTTAGCAGATCGAAGTGTGATGTCCATTAAAATATATTTTACAATTTAACGAATTATTTCTGCCATATATGACATTGTCCTAATTAAATTTAAAGGAAATCTTTATTGAAATTGACATCTCGTTTTTTAGGTAGCAAATGATTTGTCAAATTTAGTTGCTATGGATAAAACACAATTTGAGGTTAATTTAACACGTGGACTTGCTTATCGTCATGGACCAGAGTGGGAAAAAGATAATGCAGGATATATGAAAGGATTATTAACAGATTTTAAAGTAAAAAAGAAATTTTTTTTTGAAAGAAAAAATTGAATTTTTTTTAAAGACTCGAGATGTTCGAATAATTATCGCTAATTTTAATCAAACAATTGCTACACAAATGTTTTGTCACGTATGTGTTTGATTTAATTGAATGAAAATATTTTATCATTTTTCTCAAAAGTTAGGCAGCTCGTGAACATATATATGGATCTCGTTATCAATGGATTATACTTGGTTTTCCATCGTTATCAGATTGGTGGTATGAACCAACAAATTGTTCGAAACAAGAATTAATTCGAGCAATTAATGGGACATTACAAACACGTGTACCACGTTTTTCTATTGATACTGATCAAGTAAGAAAGTATCTCCATGGACTAAGAAAACAACAAAAAACATATATATGCATTTAGAATCGATCCGATAATGTTTTGGAATATTTAAAAATATATTCTGAAATGAACAAAACATATTTTGATGCTTATGCATATGATACAATATGGAGTTTAGCATATCTTTATCAAATACAATCCTTACATAATCAATCAAATATTGAAATATTTAAAAAACATCTTGAAACTATTGATTTTATTGGTGCTACTGTATGTAAATGAGAAAAAAAAACAAACGAACGAATTTTGTTTTTCATATGATTAAATTTTAGGGAAGAGTAAGATATTTAAATGGTGGAAGAATAGGTGAAATACTTGTTGAACAATTTGTTGGTAAGAAAAACTAAAAAGAAAAGCAAAATTTAATAAATAAAATTTAGCTTGTCGAATGATGACTGATGGTACATGTATAAGTCCATGTTATGAAGAAGAAGATGATTGTAATTTAACTGTTGTGAAAGTTTTTCTTGCTAAAAATTCCGAATCAAAAATTGATCCACCAATTTTATATAAACTTAATCCAATTATGTGGCATGGTTTGTTTACGTAATTAAACTATAATTTCATACGAATATATATATTGTCTATTAAGGAAATGGTCCACCACGAGATCGAACAAATCAAACAATTGAATTTCAACATATTTATATTTCAGTATTTATATCTATATCAATATGTAGTGGAATAGGATTATTTATTTCATGTACTTTTCTTGCTTTTAATATACATTTTCAATCACACAGATTTATTCGTATGTCAAGTCCAGCATTAAATAATCTTATATTATGTGGGTGTATGTTAGCTTATATGAGTATAATTGTAATGGGTATTAATTCATCTTTATTTATTAAAAAATCTTATAGAGAAATAATTATGAATATTATTTGTCCGGTTAGTTTTAAATAATTGAAAAAAAAAGACAAATTCAATTATTTATTTAGATTCGAGTTTGGATATTATGTATTAGTTTTACGTTAGCGTTTGGTTCAATGTTTAGTAAAACTTGGCGAGTACATTCAATATTTACAAATATAAATACAACAAAAAAGGTAGGGGAAATATTTAATTGAACTTGAAGAGTAATATATTATCTATTAGGGTATTCATGATTCTCGTCTACTTGCCATAGTTGGTATTCTTTTATTTGTTGATTTAATATTTCTTATTTCTTGGCAAATATTTGATCCAATTCATCAAAAACGCGTTTATGATACACCTTCAAGATTAAAGGTAAAACTATCTTTATAAATAATTTATTTGACCTTTTGTCTTTGAAAAGGATAATCATGATATAGAAATAATTCCATATCGTGAAGAATGTAAAAGTAAAAATATGAGCTTATGGGTTGTTATTTTAATCATATACAAAGGTTTATTAATGGTAAGAGAAAAAAAAAGATTTTTTTTTTCGAAATTTTTCTAAGAAAAAAAATGATTAGTTTTTTGGTTCATTTCTTTCGTGGAAAACTCGTCATGTAACAATTCCAGCATTGAATGATTCACGTTATATTGGTTTAAGTGTATATATTGTATTTATTTGTTGTACACTCGGCTCATTAGTTATATTTATACCAAATGAACAAATTCAATTTTCATATTTTATTCGATCATTTTTTATTGTTATTTGTACAACAGCAACTGTATGTTTAGTATTTGTACCAAAAGTAAGATTTTTTCGTTTTTAATCGAAATTTCTAAATATTTTCTATTTAGATTATTGAAGTTTATCGTGATCCACATTCGAGAAAACGACAGCCGAGAGTAACAAGTCGTTTTCTTGAAAGAAATCATCATCGTGCTGCAGTTACAGTACAAAATTACAATACAGCTTTAGAAGATAATCAACATTTAAAATTTGTTTTATCTATGGTATTTGAAATTAAAAATTTAGATATTAGAAAATATTTTATTAAATTTAGCAAGAAGAAACAGTAGATCGTTTATTAAAAGAATTGAATAATTTACAAACTGGAAAAAATAATTCTACGAGTAAAATCTTTTGATTAAATAATTAAAATTAATATATGAAATTGATTTTTCAGATGTTGGAACGTTAGAACTTGAACGTCTTGTTGCACCCAATGATGAAACTGAAGAAACACATGATGACGATCCTTTACTGGAAGGTGACGATGAAACTAGTATAAATTCTATGAGAAATCATATGTAAGTTAGTCGAATATAATTCAAATAAATCTATATAGAATAATAATTTCAGTGTATCACGACCAGAATGTATTGCACGTGCTGTTAGTTTATGTTTATTAAATAAAATTCAGATGAAACAATTATATTGGCCAGACTCAGTAGGTATTGGTCGATATTCAATTCCATCATTTAATGATCGTCTTCATCCATCATCAACACCATCGCCTTCAAAGATCGTATTTCAACAAACACATGAAAATTCGAAACTTATCGAAATAGTCGAAGACAATGAATTATCATCAAATAATCTCAAACGTTTATATGATGGTTTAGGTTCACTTGATGAAATTCGTTTAAGTGAAATGATTGAAACTGATCTTATATCATGAAATAGTTACATAGATTGATTATTTTTATTTTCTAATTCTTATATTATATACTGAATAAATCTTATTTTTTTTCCTGCAATTATTTGTAATTCGACATTAGTAAAAAAAGCAAGATGCCGTTAAAGAATAGGATACAATTAGATTTACGTTGCTTCCAATCGATTTAACATTTACAAAATTATTATTCAATTGACTCTAATGATTTGTTGATTGTGCCACTTCTTTTCAATTTCTTAGTTATTAAAAACTAATTACAACCAGTCTCTAAAGAACCACCAATACATTATTCTCTTTCTCGTAGAGAAGACTCCAGTAAACATAAATTGTCTGCTTGTGTGTTCGCAGGGTCAAAAAAACATCGAAAATCAATTTTTCACGGTTTTCATTCGTTTTTTCAGTAATTGTGAAGAAAATGTATTTCTACGAGAAAGAGCTAAGCGAGTCCTCAGACGAGCGTTACTTGTTTCATAACCTAGAAAAAATGCACTTTTGTAGTATTTATCCATTATTGCGGAAGAAAAAGCATTACCTTCTTATTTCCTTAAAAATTCATATACGAGTTAATATTCTAGTGAGATTGTCAAGTCACTTATATGGGACGGTCCAATATTTATTGATTGAATTTTGACTCGTGCTCGTATTTTTTTACAAGAATGACTATGATTCTATTTTGTCTTATTCTCAATAATCATTTATTTTTATAATATAAAATTAATAACAATGTAATAAAATCAACATACTAGACAAAAAATTTATCACCGACATCCATCATTATAGAAATTCTCAATATTTTCATAATAGATCATATCATCTTTTCGTAAATTACTTAACCGTTGACATAATTCACACATTCGTATACGTTCTAATGCTTTTCCATCGATAATAATCTCATAATTTTTTCTCCATTGATGATACATTGAAAATAAAGTTAAATTCGAATGAATTTCTTTCATGTAATCAGCAAGTTTATCTATATCATCATGAAAATCATCAATATGTATAAAAGAATTCTTCGGTGCTAAACGTTCATAATCATTTCGGTTTGGTCCATATACAATCGGTATAACACCATAATAGAATGCTTTATAAAACTTTTCCGTTATATAATCTCGACATGTATTTGATTCAAAACTTAGATAAAATTTAAATTTTGACATATAATTATATTCACATTGACTAAATGAACTACATAAATGTACTGGATAATAATCTACACAACGACCATAACCTTCATTTAATAAATTCGATGCATATTTTAATTTATAAAATATTTCTAAACGTTTTTTTGAATGACAATTTGAAACAAACCATAATGCACCATTTGTTCGATTATAATATTCTTTTTCTATCCAATCTTGATATGTATTATCTGATAATGGATGAATTCGTCTACTAAATAAACCATACGATCCAATAGATACTTCACTATTTAATTTATAACTTATTGTCCAATTAAAATGATAAGATTTAAGTAGAGCATAATTAATTATTGTTGGAGGTTCATCTGACCATAAAATCCAAACTGAATTTGGTTTAGTTTCCGAACGATTCGGCATTGGAGCTCGAGATAATGGAATATCATAAGCATGAAATATTAATGCATCAGCTTCACGAAACTTTTCATGATCACATGACCATTGACAACGATTTTTTGATGGACAAGTTTTACCAAAAATACGTTCGATAGAAAATGAACAAAATTTTTTATCACGAAAAATTGTTGTAAAAAGAACAATTAAAATACGAGAAGTAGATTGTTCTTCAATAATTCCACGTTTAACAACTTTACTATTATCTGATATTATTTCATTTTGAAGAATCTATGTAAAAAAAATACAAGAATTTGAAAAGGAAATTTTCTTTGCAATCTACTTGTTCTTTAATTTGTAATGTTTCATTGATACTATTCCATTGTATATCTTGATTAATAGCAATTCGACTATATTCAGCAGAAAATGGATTCGGTACAATAAGAATACAAATAAATACAAATATAAACCATATGAAAGATATTCGTCGATAACGATATAGTTGTTGTCGGCGCCACCAAAGTCGAATAGGTGATTTGTGATATGAGAAAGACATTAAACTACTCCACAGCTGGAGAAAAAAACGAGTCGACGCTTTTTTTTTCTTGTTCTTGATATCTCAATTCTTGTCGTTTTATTTCTGTTCGCTTCACTAAATATTAAATTGAGTCGTTCATATGGAATTATTATTGCATATGATTCTGTTCTACAACTAATAACATAAAGAACCTTGCATTGATAAGAATTTATTCTATAGAATAGAAAAAAAACCATTGACAGAATATGCACAAACTATTTGCTAATGTCTGATTCCTTTTATTTGAGAAGAATAAAGGATTTACTCACTAATATTAATATTTAAGCATCTAACACCTGTTGGTAGTATTATTTCAAACAACGTAAAAGAAAATATATACTTGTTTTCTACATTAGTGATGTTATATAGTTTGGCGAGAATTTTATTATATGGATCCGATTTCAAAACAATCTTCTATTGATTTATTCTCCTATTCGATCGTATATTAAAAAAAACCAATCGATATTATAAACTATCAATAGTTAAAAACGCTGAGTCATTTGAATATACGTAAAAACAAAACCTCATGAGAAATATATAATCAATAATTTTTGAATATATTAGGAAAAATAACATCGTAGAAATAAAGAGCAAATCTAGAAATAAGGAAACGGAAACGAAAGAAATGACATGATTGAATAGCAAGAGAGCTATAAGTTTATTGACATCTGATAAACGTGCCTTTTTCTATAGTATAGT